ATAAATTTTTTCGCCACTGAAAGTCTGGGGTCTTTATCTTGAGAAACCGTCAAAGAGCAACTTCATATATATTTGGACTTTACGCCACTTATCTCCTGTCTGAACCTTGTACTTTCTGAAACCAGAAACTGATAGAAAAAAATTCTTAGAAAGCAGAAACTTTTTAACTGTAGTGAACAGCGGGGGGGGGGGGGGGGGACACCTGGATTGCCTTTAGGGATCATACCCGAGCTGAGGAAAACCACGTCAATGGGAAGAATCTGGTAGTCAGGGAGATGAACCACGAGAGACTACGGATTCCGGGGGTAAAAAACTGAGGGTTTCAGAGGGGAGGGGATGATGAGCATTAAGGAGGGCACGTGTTGTGATGAGCACTGGGTGTTATATGCAACTAATGACTCTTTGAACACTACATCAAAAACTAATGATGTACTATACAGTGGCTAACTGAACATAATTTTAAGAAAAGGAAAAAAAAAGAATTGGTAGTTAAAACAAAACAAAGCACAAAGCATGGGCTATCTCTGAAGTCAGTAAGTGTTTCAGGGCATCATTAGGTAGTTATCATGAGTTTAGGGATAGCCCTGGGGTAAGCCCCCACCAGGTTCACTACCAAGGGCAGGCCGATGGGTGTTCTATGAAGAGTATCTGCTGCAAAATCACCAAAGCCACAGTTTCCATTCTCTGTTCTTCAACTCTTCAAGAATACAAGCTGTCTCCTCCAGGGCCCCAACAAGAAGCAAACAGAGCAAAAAAAAAAAACAACAAAAAAAAAACCCACCATCAGGTGGGTGTCATTGTCTGCAAAGAGCGGCCTGATGACTGGTAAGTTTGTGAGACACTATTTACCAAAGGAGGGGACTGTCAGGCACTTGCCTCTATCCAAGGCCTGATTCACTGCAGGGTTTTCATCGTGAGTCAATCCATCCTACATTGACTCCTCTCTGCAATAGATACCCTTAAGGGAAAGACACTTGTACGGTTTAGGTGCTTGATTAAGCACCTAAACAAATGAAAGAACCCTCACTTATTTCTATTTATACACGGAGCAATATTATTTAAATACTGTAGATAAATCCAACTGGTACAAAATAAATGGGAGTAGACGTTGGTCATATTTTGACTACCCAGTCTCCATTCCCTCTTCCTAAGAAGCACCAATTTCTTTGGAGAACTTAACTCTTCTCCATTTCATGTCATTTTCCTGAGTGGTACCTGCCTCCTAGTATAAAAGCTGGACAGGAAGTGATCCCATGACTTAGCTCGGCCAATCAGATGTCATTTCCCAGGACTCTGCCTCTTGAGTAGTATATGGAAGAGGACACGGATGGAACTGGAGGGGAGTACGCTAATAAAATAAGCCAATCAGAGAAACACAATTATCATAGGGTTTCACTCATATATGGAACATAAAGAATAGTGCAGAGGACAATAGGGGTTGGGGGGGAACTGAATGGGAAGAAATCAGAGAGGGAGACAAACCATATGAGACTCTTGACTCTGGGAAAAGTGAGGGTTGCAGAAAGGGAGGTGGGTGGGGGGATGGGGTAACTGGGTGATGGGCATTAAAGAGGGCACATGATATGATGAGCACTGGGTGATATACTCAACTAATGAATCATTGAACATTATATGAAAAACTAATGATGTACTATACCTTGCCTAATTGAATTTAAATTAAAAAATAAATAAATAAAAATTCTAAAATTTTTGAAAATTAAAAAAAAAAAGAAAAAGGAAATGGCTGAATGTTATCCATGATGCAGAAATGAACTGACCACTTCTTCCTGTGGTTGGCCATTATTCCCCTTCCCAGCTCTCTGAGAACTCCCAAAGTTCTTGTTTACTTGCAAGCCTAGTCCTCCACAGCATTTTTACCTTAATTATTTGACCCTGTACATTGGAGCTTCCCTAAGATTTCCTCTGAACATATTAGCAAGTTAGTTTCTGATGCTTGCAGCCAAGAACACTGATAGATACTCAGTGGCAAGGATCAAGCTTAATTAGCAAACTCAATTGAATGAAACCAAAGAAACGAAAAATGAAGTGGCCAGAATGGCCTGAGAAAATACTTAAATGTTAGACATTTTATTTAGCCCTAAATGTCAAGTAGGACCTCTCTGTCCCTTGATATCTGGGGAAAATTGGCCAGAGTCTCTTAATTCTACAGCCCACAGGGCTTTTAAAACTTTCACTTTGATTTCTGAAGTTTTCCCGGGCATGCATACTCTTCTGCCATCCTGTGCCTTTTAAGCGTTCCTTCTCATACGTGCACTCTCCCTTCCAAACACACTTACCCAGACAGGAATGTCAGCCCTGTCACTAATACACACTCATGTGCACACACACAGTCACATAAAATATGTGTAGCCTAGTGGAGGCTGTGCGGTTATGTGGCCTTGAGCAGGTTACTTCACCTCTTTATGCCTTCGTTCCCACACCCTGTAAGGTAGGCATAATGATGGCAAGTGCCTCAGAGGATTGCTTAAAAATTAAATGGGATAATACACATTAAGGTCATAGCTCACAGGCAGTCAACATCAACTCTCAATTTCTAGTCAAGCTAGAAAATTTTTCTAAAGAACTGGAGCCCGAGAGAGGTCAGCACACACACACACCATACATACTTCAAACAAACAAACAAACAAAGATTTGCAACCTAACTTCTCTTGGAGTTCCTTTCAGGCGCCCTGCCACTGGATGGTTCATGCTTTTCCAAGTTGGCAGTGCCCCATCATCTCTTCTCTGAATCTTTTCTCCAACCTTCTCCCTCCTCTGTCCACTCATTTTCCTGTCTTCAGAGCAAGAAGAAAAATTCGTCTCCTGTACCAGGGCCCTAGACCCTTTGGCATTCAATTTAGGTGGGCACTTCACTAACTTGAAGGTATTTCCTTACCAAAAAAAAAAAAAAGAATTTCTAGTTCCTGCTCTTAAAATAATAAAATTTATTCTATATTCTATCTAATTATACCTAGAACATTAGTTTCTAGACCCTCATCATTGGCATAGTACCCTTATAAATTTTTCTCACATTCTTTTACGAAAGACTGTTTTTTAAAATTACATATTTTTCTTTATACAAACGTACTTTCATTTTTTTAAACAAACTTATTTTTATATTTTAAATGAATGTAGTTCAAAAGAAAACTGTATTTCACTCCTATAAGTGCCAAAATAGTATTATTTGCCATGATACGGTTATTTTAAAATAAATACTTATGTAAAAATAAAAAAGATATTCATATACCACCTAAAATCATTACGTATTACGAGTGATCCATGCATCACAATTTGGTAAAGGTGAGCCTAAAACACCACCTTTAGAGGCTGGACTGAGGAGGATATGAGTGGAAAGTCTGGGCATTTGCATGTTACTAATAGTGTGGGCAGAGAGGCTGAGCGAGCGAGGATGAGCGTATGTTGAGGGGATCAGGTTAGAAATCGGACAGGGAGGATGGTCCGGAGAGAAGATTCTGGGGAGCAACATCATCTTGTATCCTGCAGGACTGTTCCACAGCACCCAGGAGAATGGCTAATGTTCATTTAATTGAACTATATGCTGTTGTTGGAATTCAATGCTGCTATAAGTAAATGTTGAAAAGCTGGAAATGTTAGGGATCGTAAAATCTGAATTATCCAAAAACAAGTTCATTTTACCAACTGATGAGGTTTGATACAGTGTTTGAAACTTGATGGCATAACTTGTCATCATCGATACTGCCCACTTTGGCCTTGTAACAGAAATTAACAAAAATAAAATTGAGATTCTCCAGATTCCACTCTGCTTTCCCCGTACAAAGAATGTCACAAACTTTTGGAGGAAAATTTAGTCAGCGGTCTAAAAATCTGTGTTAAAGTTCTAGGACTTTGCACCAAGTCTGAGTGTTGGGTAAGTAACGAAGTCCAGGATGCTTCTATTGCAAGTGTAAAATGTTCTACTGCTAAATATACAGAGCCTCTGTGCATATCTAGATATACTAGAACACAATCCTATTGAAAATATATGTAATACATCAACAATGACTGGGTGATCAGCAATTCTTTATTAAATATCCACCCTGTGCCAGGAATTAGGCATGAGGCACGTCTGCCCTTAAGGAATTCCCGGGTTTGGGGTGATAGTACATCTCTGCAGCTCGAGTCACATTACACTAGACTTTCTGTCAAGATATTTGACAGCTCCCTTTTATCACGGCGTTGTACTACATCAAACACAGAAGCACTGTGCCCCTGAAATGTGCTTTCCTCTAGGTTTCAAGTGAAAGAAGCACCGCTCCCATGATTGCACCAGGAATGTATTCTTTTTCAGAATGTCTTCCAGCTATTGACATGGACGACTAATGCTCAGCCCCAAATGCCAATTCATAACATTCAAGGCTTATTGAATACAATTTTCTTCACACTATTTGATTGTGCCAAATAAAATGCAGCAAACCTTCAGAGAAAATCTTCCTTAGGAGCCATCCTATTATCTGATCTCCAAGGGTTGCAGGAAATGACAGGAAAAGAAAACCAAACCTTTTAGCTTTACGTAACTATACCATGCAGCCATCATGTCACATAATCTAATGACCCGGTTGAAAAAAGAGGTGGGCAGACTAGAACCTGTTACAAAAAGCTATCTGAACACGTATCTAAAGTTTAGATGTACAGAGAGACATTCTTAAGCTATTTTTACCCCCATTTAAATACAAATTCTTTCTTCCTATTATAGAGATGAATATCTATTTTCATGTTACACCGCCTCTCATAATGCAGACTTTTGGAAAAGCACCTGGAAATATTTCCAGCCGTACCATATTTATCATTTAAGCATAAATGAAAAAAAACCCTCTAATAATCAAACAACATCACACTCATGATTATATACGAAACACTGAAGAAAACCCACATCTCTTGGATTTGTAACTCTACCACAATAGATTTTTCAGAGGCTTCATAGTTCAAATGGCCATAATTTACAGCAGCATAATTACAGTATATACAGAAATATAATATACCTCACATTAGCATCAAGTTCATCCATTACAGGAAATAGGCATGGGTGAGTTGGGTTTCAGTGCCCACAGGGTCCTATATGAGAAAATAAAAAAAAAAAAAGTTAGACAATGAGTTAATTTAGGAAAAATACAAGTCCTTGCTAAAGGAAAAAAATGCCAGATAGTCATGGCTTCCTATTTATTAAGACTTTTGTTTTGGGGCACCTGGGTGGCTCAGTCGGTTAAGCGTCTGCCTTCGGCTCAGGTCATGATCTTAGGGTCCTGGGATCAAGCCCTGTGTCAGGCTCCCTGATCAGTGGGGAATCTGCTTCTCCCTCTCCCTCTGGCCCCCACCACACCCCTCCCCAGCTCGTGCTCTCTCTCTCAAATAAATAAAATCTTAAAAAAAAAAAAAAGACTTGTAGAGTATCAGAAAGTATTTTTTTTTTTAAATAAGCCATACTACAGCAAAAAGCTATTGGCATACTGAAGTATGACAGAGCTGAGTATTGCAGTTTCTTTATCGTTTTATTAATTCCCTGGAGATTAAAACACATAGGAACTTCTTTGTACTCCATGTTAATCAGTTTACTTCTTACATAATTATTGCTCTTCCCAGAAACACAGCTTATTTACATGATCTCCATTAGGACACTAACTAGTGAAAATAAGTTGCTACACTATTATGATTAAAATGATATATTACATAAAATGGTCAGCCATCTGGTTTCCTATGAAGATCTTCAGGGTTGGTTTTTCTTTTTTAAACTCTTTCTGAGTCTAGATAATCATATATCTATTTGAAAATCTAGTACACTCTTGAGAACTTCCTGCCCAGAAAAATCGATGGACATGTGCATACATACACACTTCCAGACGGGTGCATGATTCCTCGAAGCCCATTCATGAACTCCAGGCTAAGAACTCCAAATTGAAGGGAAGTTAACCAAAAGATCCTCTGCCATGGACTCTCAGAAGACCTGACACACTTTTCTGGGCAGGTACTTACTGACCTCCACCAAGTTGGCCCTTTTAACTGACTGCAGTTTCATTTTTCAGAAGAATTCCTACGTTTTGCATCACATTTGTTCCACACCATGGGGAGTCAGAGAATGTAGGAGCAGATCCTGGTCTGCTTCTTTGGGGGTGACCCCCAAACTAATCCCCTTTCCCTTCTGAGCTTCATCTTCCACTCCTCAGTAAACAGAGGGATTAGAGGAGATATCTCTGGGTTCACTTCCAGCTCTGACATTCTATAATTCCATCTGCTGATTTTCTAATTGAATCTTACCAAGAAGAAACTATAAATCTGTTTATCTACACAACAGAACCATGAGCCTCAGCCTGGGCTATTGGATGCCTTGGTCAGGATGGGTCAAACACATTCGCCTGGCCTCCAGGAAGGGAATGGCAGACCACCAGAGCTGGAAAGGATGTAGATTTCTCTGTGTTTTCCAATGTTTGTTCTTTAGAGCCTTGAAGATTAACAAGGACTCCTGTGGGCATTTCTGAGTCTGGGGCAGGTGTGGGGAATGCTCAGCCTCCAGAACTCTGAATCCCCCACTCTGACCTCAAAGTAGCTCTGTCCACTTCGATCTCTTTTACATCTTTGAATCCAGAATAATCTTTTATTTGAAATACTTAAGTACAAAGCCTTAACTATTGAAGTGACAGGCCACATCCTTTTTTTTCCTCTACTTAAAAATCTTTCTTGAAATGATCACATCCACTCCCATGGCTTAAAATAAAAAGCATTTCAGGGATGTCTGGCTGGCTCAGTTGGTGGAGCATGGGACTCTTGATCTAGGGGCTGTTAAATTTGAGCCCCGCATTGGGTGCAGAGATTACTTTAAAAATATTTAAAAATAAAATGAAAAGCATTTCAAATTGAACTCTACATTTCCCACTCCCAACACAAAAACCTAATCCTCCCCTAGTGCTTTCCATTTTGGCAAATGGCGCCATCATTTACCCAGTTACTCAAACAAACAACCTCTTTTTCTCACACCCTACAACCAAACTGTCAGCAAATTCATGCTCTCTATTTTGAAAATGATTCCTTAACCTGAGTTTTTCTCATTCCCTCCAGAACCAGCACCCTGGTCCACACCACCATCTCTTTTCTTCAGATCCTTCCACGCCCTCCTTAACTGCTCTCCTGCTTGCCCCCCTATCATTGCCCCCACAGGAGCCAGCATGGGATTTTTCAACATGTAAGTCAAATCATGTCTTGCCTGCATAAAATTCTAGTGGCTTCTACTCACACTTAGAATAAAATCCCAACTCCTTGTCATGGCCAACCAGACCAGAAGTGATCTGGCCCCACCCAGCTCCTCACCAATCTCAATTTTAGCCACGCCCCACCCCCTCAGTGCCCTTGAACTCACTGGTTTTGCTACTTTCCTTGGCCATAAAAGTAGGCTTTCACCTCAGGGCCTTTTCACTCGTTGTCTCCTATCTACTGCTCAACTGTCACTTCCTCACTGAAGTCTTCCCTGTTCACCTGAGCAGAATTTCAGACCTCATTTTCTAGAAGTTTCTATCCTCTTGATCCACTCTTATTTTCTCTTACTGGCACATGCATTATATATACTCCATAGCTTCTTTATTAGTAATTGATCTTCCTCACTAGAATAGTTTCAAGAGGGCATAGGTAGAGATCTGATCACTATTATATCCTCAGTGCCTAGAGAAATACCTGGTACATTACATTCTCTTCATAGATACATGTTGAGTCAAATAAATAGCTAATTAGTTTTGCAAATGAAGAAGCTGAGGTTTGAGAGTTTGTGATTTTCCAACTGGGAGGTAATCTATAGATCACCCAGGGTACAATACCGTAATTTTTAAAGTAGCAAAAAACCATCTCATCTATTTAGTTACCTTTTACTAAGTGTTAGCAAGTGCCAAACACTGTCTTTTTCCTCTTCTTCCAACCGAGGAGTCTTTGTCCCTTACTGTGAGATGAAGATACTATGAGCCAGAGACGTTAACTGACTTGACAAAGTCACACAGCTGGCACTTGACCAAACTGGGAAGAGAATCCAGGTCTGTGAATTCCAAAACTCAAGCTTTATTTGGTAGAGTTCTTGTCATCATAGCACACTTCCTTCTACTGGAAGAGAAGGAATCCTTCTTTTTCTGAAAACAGCACTTTGAATTTCCTTTGGAGAACCACCCCTCCCCTGCCTCAATCCCTAGGTCCGGGGATAAGCAAGACTGGCACTGGCCAATCAGAACAGTTCACTCCCTGGCCCCAGTGCATTAGCTTCCGGCTAGACTAGTGAAAGCTAACCCTGAGATTTTTGCTAAAAAGAGTCTCTGTTTTCCCTAGTGTTGCTAGACCGTTCAGACTTTCAGGTTGAAGCTATTGGTGGCCATCAATGCCACTTTGTGGGGAGAGCCCATCTGAGAATGAAGCTAACCACAGGGAAAGCAGAGTTGGAACATAGAGAACTTGAGGTTTCAGATCCAGCGGTGTCTTAAGACAGTTTTACACCTGAACTTTCCAATCATACGAGACAACAAATTCCTTTTTTTTTTTCCTTCTTAAGCCAGTTTGAGCTGGGTTTCAGCCATTATTTGGAACCAAAAGGATCCTAAGTAATAGACCAAAAAAAATCAATATTGTATTTACATACAGATTAGAAGGAAGAAAAACTGGAAGTCAGAAAACCAGTTAAAAGCTAGCTAAAGTTCATCTCATTGAAACTGCATTTGAAAATGTTACAACATGGGCAAAATCTTATATATTCATAGCAATGGACATTGTTATGTCTTGCTCATCAGAAACCCAATGAGCAAATTTAAAATGATTGCCATTTAACAAGCCAGTGAGACAGCCTGCATTTTGTCAGAGAGAGAGGAACAGTAACAAAAGATAAATTGGTGATCCGTATCTATCCTGATTTGATTAATCCATCACAGTCCACTATTTTCTGCCGTGCTCACCAGAGCTAACTAATCAGAAGTGTGATTACAGGGACACGTCTTGTCAGGAAGACTGCATACATCGAGAGGGGTGTGCAAGGAACCAGTGTTTTTATCTTGCATACTTACATTTCTGGCTCCTTAACCACCTAGGCCATTAAAGACACAATCAACTGAAAGCATCTCCTATGCCTGGGTATAAGCTATGTCACTTCTAAAAGTTCTGCCAATCTGAAATTCAATTAGACCGCATGTGCATTTTAATCACAGTCATGCTGTATCCTTACCTAAGGGACAAGGAGTGATACCCCGTATGTTTGGTCTCCTTCAGGGAAACAGTCCTAGATTCTTGTAACCAGATAAAGAGCACGGCAAGTCTTGGGAAAGGCGTGGAGAAGAGAGTCAAACAGAACTTTCTACACCATGTGAAGTCCAAAGGAAGGTCTCAGTGGTCTCTCAGGGCTAGGACAAGCTCAAGCAACCAAAATTATTCCGAACGCTTTGTCACAAAAGTAAAGTTACAGCAACAGACAACTCTATCAGATTCTTCGGCGCTTCTTTTCCTTGTTGGATACAGTGAGATTGATCTTTCCCTAAAAAGGGAGGAGGAAGAGGTCATCTTACTTATGCCACCCAATGCTGATTCCAACCCTTGGTTTTCTGGCTTACAAATTTTAAATACCTAAAGGGCAAACCCAAAAGGTAAGTACACCCCATCTTTACCCCTTGTTCTTTTACTCAGAATATCCTGAAAGATTGCTGTGGAACAGTTGTTAATGGTTAACAGAAGGTGTGTAGTTGCATCTCTATTATGAGAAGTGTGAGCATAGGGCTCACCTGTAAATAGTCCCCACCTACTGGAATGAAATATCGACGTAGTTTGGTACAGTGCCAACATCTGCCAACCTGCAGCTATGTCATAACCTCAGCTTGCTTTCCTGCACTTTGATTTTTTTTCCTCTGGTTTTGATTGCACGGGCGGATATTCATGCATAACTGTGCATGGATTGACCACGTTTCTTCATAGAGTATGCTTCCATGGGTTAAATTTCTACATCAAAGGGCATATTCCAATACCTTTATTTTGGATAAGTGTCAGCAATAAGTAAAACATTATTTATCTTAACAGCCAAATTGCGGGTGGGAGCTTGACATAATGGAAGC